AGGAATCACCCCATAATTTTTTTAGACTAATTCGAAAACACCCTGTATACTGTCAACTTGACAATGACTGCTGATAAATCAAAAAATACCTTTTCAGTGAAAAAAGCCTGATTTTCGCAGGAAAATTTTGATTTTTATTGAATTTGGGCCTGCGTTTGCAAATACTCGTTTGTTTTTTAATTTTCTATCTAAATTTTAAATATCATAGTCAGAAATAGTTTTATTATTTATTAACTGTAAAAATGGTGTTTTCTTGTCGTGTTGCATCTTGCAAAGAAACTAACGAAACTGCAAAAATGTATGTGTTTCCAAAAGACGATAAGGTTTGTATCTTAGATAAAAGAAAAATATATGGTATGTATTCGTTGTTTGATTTTTTTTCGTTCGCTTTAAAATCTATAAATCTCGGTCTATTCATTAGACAGCCAGTCGACTTACGATCATTTACATGAAACTCTGTAAAATAAATAAAAAAATAAATTGTAAAATATATATATTCTTATGTTTTATTAAAGTTACTCTGATATACTAATATATCAGTGTAACTTTAAAAATAAATCCTTTGAATTCAAATATAAACATAAAAAACATTTACAGCAGAAAAGGCGAAGGCGCTGGGTTATAAACGTAGTCTCCACTAAAAACACGGAGGGGCGCTTTGACCCAAAATTTTACTATTAAGTTTCATACCTATCTATCTTAATAGTAGCGATGGGAACTATCGAATGAATTAGACTATCGAATGGTTAATGAATGAATGATTTCAGCTATCGAATGGTTTTATTCGAATAAAATCATTCATTCATTTGTATACTAAAGTATATGTGACAACCTCGCCGTGCGACTAAATGGTTATCGTTGAGCCACGACTATCGAATGCTTTTGATAAATGAAATTTAGTATTCGTTTGATTTTTGTGTGCGTCAGTGCATTATTAGTTCTTCCAAATTTTTATAACTTCGCCGTATAAATACTGTGCTATTTTTGCGTTTATTAAAATATTAGTTAATAAATAGTAGTTTTTTTTAATTGGCGATTGTGTACGTGTGCAAGTGGTCAAAATTTTTTCGAAAATTTGTGTGATTTTCCATAGCCGGATCTTTCAATTATTTAATGTTATATGGTATATGGTTTATTTTTTAATGGGAAATTTTGAGAAGTAGCAATTTTTAAAAGAGATGAAATGAACTTACAATTAATTTTAAAAATACATATTTGTATTTTAGATGTTTTAATAATATGAATTAGTTGAACTTAATAATCATATTTAAGTAATGCGGTTGTATAATCATATTTAAGTAAATGGTTATCGAACTCAAACTATGGGGTGAGAAAATTAAAATGAAAGTTTTACACGTGCCAATTTAAAAAAAAAAGTTAACAATGTTTATATTTTGTTTATGCTAATTCTTTTACATGTAGTTTTTTGCGAAGAAAAAATATTTCATTTATTTTTTAAAGTAAATGCCAGTAAAAGTAAATATAATTTTTAAATAGTAATATAAAGCACCTAATATAAATAATTTTGATTTCTAATTTTTTATTTATATTTTCCTTACATTACACTGCATGCTTAGAAAATTAATAAATGTTTATATTTCATGATTTTAAAATTTGTTGTTAATATAACAAATTAGTTCTGTAATTATTATTATTTAATAAACCACCGTTGCCAAAAAATTTAGAGACTATATTATTTTTAAATAGGATCTAATATAAATAATTTTGACATCTAATTTGTTGTTTATATTTTGCTACTACTTAAAAGAAAATATTTATATTAAATGATTTTAAATTTTGTTGTTAATAGGTATAACAAATTATTATTGTTATTATTATTTATTAAACCAGTCTTTGCTAAAAAACATTAAAAATAATTTTCCTACATCCAAAATAACAAGTATTATTGCAGTGTAACAACAGAATATTAATAAAAAAAATGCAGAATAGATAGTATGTCTTTATATTCCCTAATTAACTAAAGCCAAACAATAATATTCTTTGCTAATATCAACTAATACCAAAATATGGCAACAGCGCCTTTCATAATGTATTTTCTGTGTAAATACTAGCACCTCAATAAAAAAATAATGTGTCCTTATCTATATCTGACTCCGCAAAAAATCAAACATGCCGGCTTCTTTCATAGCAATGCCACCGACCGCTGTCGGGTTTCTCGGAAAGAAACCTACGTCGCCGGGCGACAACTAAAATTCAGTTAATATTTTATTATAATCGATCCTGACGAATAAATGAATTTCATAAATGAATGGTTTTTGCTGCCGAATTACTAGAATACAATATTTCAAGGCAGATGACGGATCTATTCGATAATTTTTATTCGAATAGTTTTCAACGAATGTTTATTTACTAACTATCGAATTATTCGAATGAATTGCAACTATAGAATGTTTCGATAGTATTCATTCGATAGTTCCCACTACTACTTAATAGTAGATTATTTTCTTTTATCTATGGTTATGACCCGTAGATGAAATTTATGATCATTTTGGCCATCTTTTTGAGTTATTAATGCATAGATTGCAGTGGAAGTTCCAATTAAAGATTACTTTAGTACAGGTGACTTTTGACATCTGATAACTGAGAACTGATTCTTTACAAAAAAAGATAAGCTTATTCGAAGTGTTCTTTACTACATCGGTTAATAATACATTACATAGCTGTTTCGTCAAAGAAACACTGGGGGCAATTCATCAGAAAACATACTAAAGTCATCATATGGCATTAATTATTTTTACTTTCATTTTCATTAAAACATTACAGATTTTGAAATTCGTTTTTTCCAATAAACAGTCTGCTGTAGACGTGTAGATTTTTGATATATGTATTTATAATGCTGATAACTAACATACATATTTATGTAACATTTAAAATTATCCTTTCAGTGAAATAGTGATATATCTTTCAGTACTTGTTTGTTTTGGAAAGTGTGTTTTAATTTATACAGTAATTGAGGAATAACTGTTTCGTTCACGTCATCTACGTTTATTTTTATGATAATTCCTCATTTCTCAGAAATTATTTAAATTAGAGAAATGACATCATACGTATTAATTGCGACAAGAAACATTTTGAATATATATAAGTATATGTTGTTGAAATGTTAATTAAATTTGTGAGTATATCTAATAAATAAATAAATAAGTGAATTACCAATATTGTATATACTAGACAATCGAAACCATTATGTGTGTGATCATATTTTTAGAGTCAATAATGACATAAGAAGTAATTGTCGCAAGATCAGTAAAGAAATTAATAAATGAAAATATAGTTTTTAAAATTTTCATCTAAATGAATAAGTATTCTTTATGAAAATTAAAAACATATTGCAATTTGATGTATAGGGTGGCTCGAATTCGACGCTCATCATTGGGATTTCGAAAACCGTAAGAGATACAGTATAACGCCACCTTGGGTGAAAAGTTTATAATGGGAACTCAGGTTCACCAGGTTCCGTTACAAATAGGTTCCAGCTAGCTCAGTAAATAATTAAGTAAAATATATATGTACAGAACAAGAGATATCAAAAAGGAGGTGTATGGAAAAAGTGTACTGGTTGAAAAGTCTAAAATGTACTGGATTCGTTTAATAAATACTAAATTTAAAATTAAAAACAAATTGTCAAGATCTATCATAAAATGTAGCAAATATTTAAATACGAAATAATGAAATATATATATTATTATACTAGTAAAAATGAACTATCCGTAAAATAAATTAAATCATGAATAGTATCACAAAATATTGTTGTGACTAAACTGTGAACAACCCTGATGCGTATTTGTGATTATGATTAAGTCTATAAAGAATAAAATGAAATTTAAATGTAAAAATCCCCTGGTATACCAAGTTCACATACGATCGTATATTTAATGTAATAAATGTTAATCAATCATAAACGCAATAAAATAAGAGATGATTAAAGTCTTATCTGTCATCCAGTGGTCGTTCCAGTCAGTCCATGAGAAAATCCAGATTGCCGGTCTTCAGTGTCACAGTGGCATTCCTCGTCACAGTGGCATTCACGTCACAATGGCATTAGTTGCAGTACCCAATCCAGTAAAAAAAAAATTGATAAAAATCTTAAGCTAAACCGTAATTATCACTAAGGAGTAATAGCCAAGGAACAAGAACGAAGAAAGAAGAAAGAACCCTAAAATATGATCTATTTTAGTGATATGTTCTGTTTTGGACATAATAAAATCCCTTTCCACCATGTGGACGTTCCAAAACAAAATGGCGTCGCCACACGTTACTCCATGGAAAAGAGTTCTTTAAAAGTCCTCGTACTCATCTCGTACGACCATCACACACAGTCCGTGTTGTAAAATCCTGTCCCCTAAAATAAATAGTTGTACAAAAGAACATTACACAGCTGTACATGTCTCTTACCAACTGACGAATATATCCCTCTACAAGGTTTCTCTGGAATTCTGAACCACACACAGGCCAAAATCGCCCACAACTAGTGCCAAAACTGCACAACCAGTCTTCTCGACCCACAATAGAATTCCAGAACTCCAAAGACACAATCCCAATTCGGAACGGCAAGGCAAGGCCAAAAACTTCAATGGAGTTTTTATCAGTCAGTCAGGATCAGAAATTCTGCGTTTACCACGGCGGTTCGAAGTAGAAGAAAAACAGGACGCGTGTTTGCTAAATCCGCAAAAGACGCTGGACTCCAAGATACCAACCCAAAGTCTAACACAGGCAACCAGTAAAACAAAAGACCCAAAATAAAATTTGACATAAAATTTTATTTAATGCATACGGATTGAGTGAAACATTTTATTACATCATAATAAAATTATAATAATCCCTATACGAACATAATATCTTCGGATCATATATAAAATCCGTTTAAAAAGATCGCAAACCTAATTTACAAAGATCCATCTGTCAAACTTCAACGACGGTGTCACACGATCGGCTGACAACAATTGAAACGTCAGTCTGTAAATCGTAATATAAACACGATGAAATTTAGGGAAAAATCAACTATAATCAGGTAAAACCAATTGATTACACACAGGAAAAATACATAATAAAGTCCTTAACCCATATGCATATTGTAGACCCAACATTCCCACTTGTTGCGTTGAAACAGACAAAAGATAATCACATCAAGTCTATGTTCAAGAATCCTCCGAAGAAATATGCCAAGAAAATATCCTAACACAAGCATAAGTCTAAATAAAGAATTAGTAACCACTGTAGAAAGAAAGGTAGGTTTTAAACAGACAAATTGATATTTTATTAATGAGGTTTTATACATACATATACATACAGCCGTTACTCGCTGACGAGTATTCGACACACATAAAGAAAATGGTCACGCAAGGCGTTTTCTTTCATGAGCTTTTCTGTGACTGAAAAGCCCGATACGTGATGTTATCTGCCTACCGCACTCCGGACATTCAAAAATCTCATTGCTTTGTTGCCTCTCTACTTTTTGGTTGCCGCTGTTAACTGAGTTTACAACCCTTCTCCATTGAGTTCTATTGTGAGCTGCTTTTTCCCACTCATTCTGCATGTTAATTCCCTTTAAATTTTCGTGGAAAATGTCCTTGTATCTTTTCAGTTGTCCACCCGGCCTCCTCTTACCGTCCACAAGCTCACCGTAAAGCAGAGATTTTGGTATGCGGTTTTCTTGCATTCTGCATACGTGACCAGCCCATCTTAAGCGGGATTTTGTGACCATGACTTCAATACTCTCGCAGTTAGATTTTTCAAGGACCGATACGTTTGAGACATGATGGAACCACCGGACTCTTAAGAGTTGTCTAAGGTGTCTCTGTTGCAACTTGTTCAATGCGTTCATGTGTCGGCGGTAAGGCACCCAGGTTTCGCTCCCATATATCATGGTGGGGATTATAATTGCTCGGTATACTGCAAGTTTTGTTTTTGTACTCAAGTCATGATTGTAGAAAACCCTGTCTTTTAATTTCCAGAATGCTCTTGAGGCGCTACTAATCCTGTGCTGAATTTCAGAGTCAATATTGGCCTTTTCCGAAATCAAACTGCCAAGGTAATTGAATTCCGCCACATATTCGAATAGTTCTTCTCCGATTTTTATAGCATTGTTGTGATCTTCCGGGGGAGTGCACATGATTTTAGTTTTGCCGATGTTCAGCTTAAGGCCCAAAGCCTCGTATGCCCAGGTATATGTGTTCAACATTTCTTGTAATTGTTGTACCGTGTTTGCAACTAGAGCGCAGTCGTCAGCGTATTGAAGTTCTGTGATAAATTTTGTACGTGTTTTTGCCCTGAGTCTTTTTATGTTGAACAGACCGCCGTCATATCTGTATCTAATGCCCAATCCTCTCTCCTGCAGTTTGATTTGGTTTGGTTTGCTGTCCACTATAATGGAGAGCGCTGCCATGAATATGTTGAATAGGAGAGGCGCTAAGACACATCCCTGCCTAACTCCTGTATTTGTTAGGAATGGGTCGCTCAGTGATCCATGATGTGACACTCTTGACTTGTTGTTGTTATGGAGGCTTTTACACACTGTAAGAAATTTGTTGGGTACTCCGAACTTTTCTATAATTGCCCAAAGTGCATCCATAATTGCCCAAAGTGAGGTTTTATATTACAGTTATCGGAGACAACTCCATCCCAAGAAATTGTTGTGGTGAAGAGACTTAATAGATAAGATATTATTAGAAGTTATATGTACAGTTAAGAAGTAAGCTAATTAAACGTTATTATTCAAGTTATTCAAGTAAGTTTTAGTTTTATTCCTAAAAATAAGCAAAATAAGTAAAATAAGTTACGGTGAAATTTTGAACCGTAACAACAGGATCGGTTAAATGGAGGCAAAGTTGCGCAATTTGATGCTCAATAAAATGTCGTATTGCATTTTGAAAAATTCCGAATACTTTCGAATATATCCGAAAAAAAAAACGGAATTTTCAATTTTGTTTTCTATTGTTTCCTGGCTTTATTTGTTAAGATAACTTAAAATGAAAAACACATTTTCATGGGCACTTTTTCTGCTCTACAACTCTGTGTGATTAAATATTGACTCTGACGTTTCGGTTTCTGGCGACCATCATCAACTTATTTTTTTTTAAATACGGACCTAATTTTTTTTGTAATTTAATTAAATCCTTTCATCACTCTTAAAACACTATATATAATCACTTTGATATTTGCCGACGTTTCGTACAGAAAATTCCATCACCAGAAAATTTTAAGCAAAATGAAATAAAAAATAAAAATGCAATACGGCATTTTATTGAGCATCAAATTGCGCAACTTTGCCTCCATTTAACCGATCCTGTATCTCTTACGGTTTCCGAAATCCCAATGATGAGCGTCCAATTCGAGCCACCCTGTACTTATTGATATAAATTTTGGTTAGTGTTAAAAAATACGGTTCCTGTAAAATGATTTTATGTTAATTAAGAGTAGATTAAATTAGAAGTAAAATTTCTACATAATATTGAATTCCTGTTGTCTATGAACTATTTTCTATTGCTTTTCTTACGTTTTCTTTCGTGAATTCAATAGAACTTTTTCAAACCAATTCATGTTCAACTGATACCCTGGATCGTATATAAATCCCATTATCATTCTCTTCAAAGTATGTCGCAGTTACAAAGATATATAGTTTCCGAAATAATTACAAAGATTTAAGATAAAAGTTTTATCTAAATAGGATTTTTATACTTAGTATTGTTTCATTTTTAGATTCCTATAAATAATTGGAGGATTATGTATTATTGTAGGATTATTAATAATTATATCATTGCCTTAAAATATTTTTTACCACACGGATTAACTCAATAGTTCTTAAGGTTTTTTTTTCTTCTGCATAGTGTTTTACGTTCTCTTTTTACTTCATATTAAGGAACTCAATGTCAAAAATGTTGTTTATCTATTGCTTAATTGTTTAGTAGTATTCTTTAAAACACAATAATTAATATTTACCAAAATTTATGATCCGAACAACTCGACAATTATAAAGAAGAGTTAATAAAACAATGGAAGAACAATGGATGCAGAAATTAGTATAACTGTACTCATAATTTTAACTGTTCTTCATACTTTTAAAACATTTTACTTATCCCAGAATTCTTTATATAGTTGCAAAAGACAACTTTTCTGGGAAACATAAAACAATTAGAAGGGGACTTAGATTTAAGTATTTTAATTTGTTTAATTTTTGCCTGATAAGTTGAGCTTTGCAAGATATAAATTAAAACTAAAATTTCACATTACATAAAATATTTGATATTTTTATCATAAAAAATATATATTTCGTAAAACCATTTTCTCTTCCCATAAAACATAGATTTATTTACAATCAAAATAGAAATTGTAAATAATGATTATACAGTTTTCGATGTACATTAATCATTGAGAGAAGAAGTTGAAATGTTAGGCTTTATTAAAGAAAATAATGAATAATAGATCTTTAGTATTGCTTAATGGTTAGTATTACGATGTAATCGTCATGAATTTAATTAATATGAAAGTTGAATGGAGTAATAAAACTGAATTCATAATATGCCTGGGCAAAACTAATAATTAGCATGCCTAATTAAAATATACATTCATTAATTAATAATAAATTCTTAATAAAATTGCGTGCTAACTAATTCAGAGTATTTTTTTAATTCTAAACATTCAAAACAAACTTGATTATAAACAACTTTATGACAAAATCATATATCACATAATATTAGCGTTAGTTGAATATCTTATCCAGTCCTTGATGCCAAAATGTAGACACATTGTTATGTATTCAAATAAATTCGCAAAAAAGCAGAAAATATATTTTTCCTGAATAATTTTTCTACAGAAAAGTTACATTTTCCAGGTTTTACACAAAAAAAAACATATTTTTCTATATCATTTGTCACATTTTCAATCAATCAAATGAAACAAAAAATGCCGTCGCGCGTCGATGTTAAAAATCCAAAAATACTTTCTAAAACATATCGGAAAACAACTAATGCATTAGCAGCAATAAACACAAGTGCTTCCATACATATTTTTCGTTTCTTTCCGTGAAATCTCATTACACAGACAATGAGTTATGAGCAAGTTCTGTGTTCATTCCATTTGAATAAATCTAATAGAAAACGTGCTTCATAAACGTTCGCTTCAATTAGATCAAACAGCACTAAAAACCGACTAAAGCCACTTTTTCCTGACGAATGGCAGATACGTATGTACAGGGTGGCCAAATAATAGAGAACGTAAGTTATAGCTCGGGAACTAGTGATGGGTTGTTATTTAACTATCTGTTATTTTATAACATTTATTTATAAATAACATAACGCAACCGTTACTACTTCTAAAAAATAACAGATATAAAATAACAACACGTAGAGATCGGCCGCTCCTGAAACAAAAAACGAAGTCGGCGCTCTGCATCACCACGAAATTCTATGCTGCTCGAAGCAATTCCAAAAAACAACTAGTATGGATGGAAAACATGTTATTTCGTCAACCATCGATACAGGCGGCGAGACAACGGACAACGGAGTGGGGAAAGCGCTACGGCGAACGTAGCTGCTTCGGTCGGTCGATACCGTCGACGGTCGTATTTACAACAGCTTAAAAATAATAGGATATAAAAGAAGCAGGTTTTTTGAAACAGTTGCGGGCATAACGCCTGGGCGGTGGAGATAACAGGAGTGGGAAAGGAACGCTGCTGCATCGGTCGATTGTGGATGGAGGCTCGCAACGGGTTGGAGAAGCAGTCATTTTAGATATGTTGTTTTTCAACCTGTTATGAGCATAACAGGGCGGCGGTCGAGATAATCGGTGTGGGAAAGGAACGCTGCTGCATCGGTCGATTGTCGCTGGAGGTTCGAAACAGGTTGGGGAATAACGCCATCAGTTGTTTTAGATACATTCTGTTTCAACCTGTTACGAGCATAACGGACGGAGGTCGAGATATTATGGCGCTGTATGTTTCAGTACTTACTTATTAAGTTTCAATATTTAGGTATTTATTTATTCTGAAAAATTTTCAGAATAATATTTTAAGATTTTTAAAAATGTATACAGGGTGTTTTGAAAAATCTGGTCATTGATTAATCACGATCCTGCTTAAAGCCCTTGACGTAAAAAGCTGATTTTTGGAAAACGGATTGACTTTAGTGTATAGAGGTTCGATAAGAAGGGATTTTTCGAAACTCGAATTCTAAGGGGGTGAAACTACTCTCAAATATTAAAATATTTTTTATTTAAAAACCGGTGAGTTTTTCAGAAAAACTCTTAAAACACGTATATTTTATTATGTTGTTTTACATATTTTAAGATTTTTTAAAAAATATATACAGGGGGTTTCATAAAATATGACCATTGAGTAATCACTATTCTGCTTAAACTGCTGGACGTTTAAAGCTGATTTTTTGCAAACGGATTGACTGTGGGGTTGAGGTTCGATAAGGACGGGTTTCTCGAATCTCAAATTCCAACAGGGTGAAAACGCCCTCAAATATTTCAATATTTGTTATTTAAAAAAACGGTTAGTCTTTCGGAAAACGTCTGGACACGCATAATTTATTTTGTTTTTACATATTTTGAAATTTTAAAAAAATCATACAGGGTGTTCCAAAAAGTTGAGTAATTGATTAACCACGATTCTGCTTAAACTGCTCGACGTTAGAAAGCTTATTTTTGGCAAATGTGAGAAAATTTTATCCAGTTTGTATGTTAATGGAAATTCTTGTTTTGCTTTATCATCACCATTAGAAATTATTAATTCGACGCAAACGAAGTCGCGGGTACACGCTAGTTTAAGTGTAAAATTAATTCGAACTCTAGTGTGTAGATGGTTTACTTATGAAGAATATACTACACATTTTCTTATATTGCTATTTTTTGACCGCAAATGGTAAAATCATAACTAAGAGCTTCTCGCCCGTCGAGTGAGATGCACCCTGTACACTGCTACACAATTCAGGATTTACGCGGATCGAGGGGCAGGGCGTAGGTAGATCGGAATGTATAGGTCTAGACGAGTGGCGGAATTTTGGCTTTTTTTATATCGCAATTTGTAAACAGCGCTTATTTGTAAACAACCACCGTTTTTAGAGAGGTATTTTAGATAACAATCGATATTTAGAAATGTTTTGACACCCTGGAAATACTACCACCGAGCACGTCATTGTTGCAAGTTGCAACTGCGTTAATACGCCTGGCGGTGACCGTCTCATACTCTTTCAGATATTTAGCCGTAAAATAAAGAAACCTGTTATTTTTAAGCTGTTATTTTAAGCTGTTTTTTATAAATAACTATAACAGTTTCAACTGTTATCTAAAAATAACAGTTTTGCCCATCACTATCGGGAATCATTAATGGATCGAAGATCTCTTGTGTATCGTGTATAGTTTTTCTGGCGTTTTGTTATTAAGGTCCTAAGGTCTTAAGGTTTCTCATAGATGGGAACTTGAACTTTTCTTATGTGGTGTAGAAGCATGGACACTGGAAGTAGCAACAATAAACAGAATTGAAATTCCTTCGAAATGTGGAACCTACGCCGAATGCTAAGAGTGCCCTGGGACGACCGTGTTAGGAACGAAGACATTCTGACAAGAGCTTGTCTAGAAGAACGTGAACTCTTAAAAATCACCAAGAAGAGAAAAATAGCCTATTTGGGACACATACTACGTGGAGAACCCTATCACTTTCAGCGTTTAAATCTCCAGGGTAAAATCGAGGGAGGCAAAAGGGGAATAGGCCGAAGGAAGCTAACCTG